AGTATATATATATATATATATATATATATATATATATATATATATGTATGTATGTATAGGTATTAGAGAAGGTAGCTAGTAATCATCGTCGTATAAATTTACTGCATGCATTATCTTTGCATGCATATAAGATAGGAGACATTAGTGGGGCTTTGCTGCTGCAGCTGCTGCTGTCAGAGACAGGACATCTTGCTGCGCATGCAACAGCAGCAGAACTGTGGGGTCTAGCAGCAGCGCAGCACCAACAAAGACAAGCAGCAGAGCAGCAAATCATGAGGCAACTACTTAGGGCAGATCTTGCTGTTGCTGCTGCTGCTGCTGCACCCGCTCCTGCTGCTGCTGCTGCTGTAAGTACTAATGCTGCAGATACCAGCAGCAGCAGCACTGCAGCAGCAACTGCAGCAACAGCAACAGCAGGTGCACTAACTGGGGAACAATATACAACTCTAGATGCAGCATTGCAGCAGCAGCAGCAGCAAGAGGTGCATGCAGCAGAAGGCGAGCATGCACCAGCAGCAGCAGCAACAGCAACAGCAACAGCAGCAGCAGCAGCAGCAGCAGATCCTGAGGAAGTGGCGCGTTTGCTGCTAGCTCGTTATAGAGATCCATCAGTAGATTTACCATCTGCTGCAGCAGCAGCAGGAGTGTCTGCAGCAGCATTAGCAGCAGCAGCAGCAGTAGAGGAGCGTGTAGCAGCAGCAGGAGCAGATTGTTTGCTGCAGACACGTGTGTCTCCTGCTGCAGTAGCAGGAGTGCAGCAGCAGCATGCAACAGGAGACATTCGGGTGTATAGGCAGGTTATGCATAATAGTGATAAGGTTTGTCAGGTTGCTGCTGCTACTCTTGCTGCTGCAGCAGGAGCAGCAGCAGGAGGTGCAGCAGCAGGTGCTGCTGGTGCTACTACTAGTACAGCAGTAACAGCAGCAGCAGCAGCAGCAGCAGCACATAATAGAGCAGCAGCAATTGCTGCTGCTATTGTTGCTAGGCAGCAGCTGCAGCACCTAAGGGTATCTGAATTTGTTAGATGTTGGGTGTCTCCTTCTTCTGCTCTCTTTGTGTCTCCAAACAGCAGCACAGCAGCAGCAACAGCAGCAACAGCAGCAATTGCATGCAAAGCTGCTGCATTGAGGAGGGCAGCACTACAGGTATAATTATTATTAATAATTATTATTATTTATTAATTAATAATAATTAATTAATAATAATTAATTAATAATAATTCTGTTGCTGCTGCTGTTGCTGCTGCTGCTGCTGCTGCTGCTGCAGGGTGACGCTGCATCAATGGTGAAGCTGGCGGAGATGTATGCAGCATCAGCAGCATCTGCTGCTGCATATCTTGAGGAATCTGCAGCAGCAGCAGGAGATCCATCTACCCAACCACAGCAGCATCAGCAACAGCAGCAGCAGCAACAGCAGCAGGAAGCAATCCATGCAGCAGCAGCAGCAGGAGTACTAAGCCGTTATTGGGCAGAGAGGGCAGCAGCAACAGGAGACGGCAGAGGAAAATTTATTTTAGCAAAAATAAAGGAAGAAGGATTAGGAGGATATAAACAAATACAGGAAGCTATACAGGTACTCCTGCTGCTGCTGCTGTTGCTGCTGCTGCTGCTGTTGTTGTTGCTGCTGTATTGCTGTTGCTAGGGGTAAACGTGTTGTTGCTGTTGCTGCTGCTGCTGCGGAAGCAGCAGCAGCGTCAGCTTTGTTGCAGCAGCAAGCACCAGGCCAAGGCCTATACTACATATGTTATATGCAACAAGTGTATTTGCTGCTGCTGCTGCTGCTGCTGCTGCTGCTGCTGTGTTCAGGTGTATTGGGAGTTAATGACGGATCCATCTAGTGCAGCAGGAAGCCGTTTGTTGGGATTTTTAGGTTTTTCTCGTGTCTCCTTCCTGTCTCTTTTTGTCTCTATTAAGAAAATTATATTTAATATATTAGGTTATAGCAGCAGCAGCACAACAGCAGCAGCAGCAGCAGCAACAGCAGCAGCAAATACACTTGCTGCAGCACGTCATCCTCCACAGGATGCAGCAAACGGCATGGTACCACGATACCTACAAGAGGAAAGAGAGAAGGTGCAGCAGCAGCAGCTGCTGCTGCTGCAGCAGCAGCAGCAAGAGGTGGATATAGATCATCATCCTTTTGCTGTTGTCCTCTCCTTATATCTTGCTGTAAGATATTCCTGCTGCTGCTGCTGCTGCTGCTGCTGCTGCTGCTGCTGCTGCTGCTTCACCTGTGTCTCTCATTCGTCTTTTGCTTCGTAACTTCATCTTTATGCTGCGGCTGCTGCTGCTGCTGCTGCTGCTGCTGCTGTGTCTGCTGCAGGGAGAGGAGCAGCGCCGTTTCTGGGGTCAGCTGGTGCTGGGTTTGCTGCTGCTGATTATATGGGCAATCTTAGCTATTCGTCTTGCTATACGTATACCAGAGATGCGTGCTGCTGCTGCTGCTGCTGCAGCTGCTGCTGCTGCAGCTGGTGGTGTTCAGGAGGATACTACAGCTGATGCGGTGCAGCAGCAGCAACAGCAGCAGCAGCAGCAACCAGGAGAAGCTGGTGCTGCACAACAAACAGACACAGCTGCAGCAGATCCTCCACTCAAGACAGCAACAGCAACAACAGCAACAGCAGCAGCAGCAGCAGCAGGTACTGCTGCAACAGCAGCAGATACTGCAGCTGCATCAGATATTGCAGCGGCAGCAGATAACGCTGCAACAGCAGCAAATACTGCAGCAGCAGCAGATACTGCAGCAGCAGCAGATACTGCAGCAACAGCAGATACTGCAGTATCACCAGATGCTGCAACAGCAGCAGATAGTTCATGCGCTGCAGCAGCAGATAATGCAGCAGCAGCACAGTCACCTGCGCATGCAGCAGCAGCTGCTGCAGCAGAGCCTGCAGCAGCAGATAATGCAGCAGCAGCACTTAGCGGGACAGACCATTCAGCAGCAGGAGAAGCTGCAACAGAGCCTGCTGCTGCTGCAGCAGCAAAGTCTGCAACAGCAGCAGCTGATGCAGCAGCAGCAGCATCGGTAGCAGAGCGTGCAGCATCAGCAACAGCTGAAGCAGCAGAGCCCGTAGCAGCAGCAGCAGCAGCAGCACCAGCTGCTGCTGCTGCAGTAGATAATGTGCCTGATGATGATAACGATTTGCTTGTGTCTCCTGTCTGTGATTCAAATAGCAGCAGCAGCAGCAGCAGCAGCACAGACACGTGAGGATTTGCTACTGTTGCTGCTGCTGCTGCAGCAGCAGCAGCAACAGTCTGCTGCTGCAGCAACAGCAGTAATGGTAAAGTTATTTTTTTATATTTTTGCTGCTGCACTCATGACGTTTTGTAGCTGCCAACTCTTGCTGCACTTCTGCTGCTGCTGCTGCTGCTGCTACTCGTCACGTGCTGCAGCTCTGCTGCTGCAGTTGCTGCAGTCGTAGTGCTCGTAACAGCTGCTAAACCCTAAACCCTAGCAGTAAACCCTAAACCCTAAACACTGCAAATATTTACATGCAGCTAACAATGTATCATTTAAAATTGGCGCTGCAGCAGCAGCAGCATCCTGCTGCTGCTGCTGCTGCTGCAGCTCACGACGCTGCAGCAGCAACACTATAGCTGCTGCAGAAACACTGTAGCTGCTGCAGACACATGAATAGCTGCTGCAGCAGCATGATTGCTGCTGCAGCAACACTATACAGCTGCTGCTGCAGCAACACTATACAGCTGCTGCTGCAGCACTATATAGCTGCAGCAGCAACACTGGCGGATAGGAATGGGTTGCTGCAGCAGCAGCACTTGCTGCTGCAGCAATTATACGTAAGAGGAGACACTGCAGCAGCAGCTAAAGGGGACAGAAGGACACAGGAAGCTTGCTGCTGCATGCAGCAAACTGCTGCTCCTGCTGCTGCTGCTACTGCTGCTGCTGCTGCTACTGCTCCTCAAAAGATGAAGACAAAGATCCTTCCCCTGATGTGTCTCCTTCCTCGCTGCTGCTGCTGCTGCTGCTGCTGCTGCTGCTGCTGTCGTCACTACTATAGAGGCCTTCAGTAAAGGCGGCCTCCCCAGGGGACATTTCGTTTGCTGCTGCTGCTTCTGCTGCTGCTGCTTCTGCTGCTGCTGCTTCTGCTGCTGCTGCTTCTGCTGCTGCTGCTTCTGCTGCTGCTACTTCTGCCGCTGCTGCTGCTTCTGTTGCTGCTGCTTCTGCTGCTGCTTCTGCTGCGGCTGCTTCTTCTGCTGCTGCTGTCTCCTGCTGCAAGCTGCGTCTTCCCCGACGACTCTGGCGGCTCTTTGTTGCAGGCGCAGAGACATCTGCTGCTGCTGCTGCTGCTGCCTCCTCTTCTGCTGCTGGTACTGCTGCCTCTACTCCTTCTTCAAGTGCTGCTACTGCTGCTGCTGCCTCTTCTGCTGCTGCTGCTGCTTCTGCTGCGGTTTCTTCAACAGCCGCAGAAGTGTCGTCTGCTTCTTCTGTACGTAGCAGCAACTGCTGCTGCTGCTGCTGCTGCTGCTGCTCTTCTCCTAGCTGGTTTCCTGGATACCGCTGTTGTCCCCGCCGCCTCGTAGGCAGGTACAGCTCTCCGCTGCTGCTGCTGCTGCTGCTGCTGCTGTTGCTGCTGTTGCTGCTGTCCGGAGGAATAAATCTAAATTGCCAATTGGGGTGTCTCCTTACAACAGCAAAGTAGCGACGCTGCACAAATTGTTCCTTCTGCAGCAGCAGCGCCTTCTCCAATTCCTGCAGCAAATGCATGCAGCAGCAGCAGCAGCAGCAACAGCAGCAGCAGATAAAACAGCAGCAGGAGCAGCTGAAGGCTACTACAACTGCAGCAGCAGTTCCATCACACACTACAGTGCTACAAGTGCAGCAGCATCGCTAGCAGCAAGAGCAGCAGCAAAGGCACACAGACACAGCAACAGCAGCAGCAGCAGCAACAGCAGCAACAGCAGCAGCAGCAAGATTTTACCGGATGTGCTGCTATATCCATCCCTGTATTCCATAGGATATGTTTCCTCCAGTCATCCTCAAGAGCAGCAATACCCCCTCCTTGCTGCTGCTGCTGCTGCCCTAGCTGCTGCTGCTGCTGCTGCTGCCCTAACTGCTGCTGCTGCTGCTGCAGGGGCTGCTGGCGCATAGGCTGATAGAGTTGATCAAGGACACGGTGTCTCCATAGAGCAGCAACAACAGATCTTATTGATGCCCATCGTGTGTATACAAATGCACGGCATAACCAACTCGATGGACTGCAGCAGCAGCAGCAGCAGCAGCAGCAGCAGCAGCAGCAACAGCAGCAGCAGCAACACAAGTAAAATTATACAACATGAGAGAAAAAAAGGAACAACAGATACAACAGCAAACAGACAAAACTCTAAACCCTAGTAAACCCTAAACCCTAAACCCTTGTAAACCCTAGTAAACCCTAAACCCTAGTAAACCCTAAACCCTAAACCCTAAACCCTAATACGTACTGTATTTCTAGTCCATGCCTTGCGAGTGCCTCGGAGAGAATTTCTCTTCTTCTTTTTCTTTGTTTTGCTTCTTGCTGCAGCAGCAGCATATTATTCTGCAGCAGCTGCAGCTGTAGTTGCTGCTGCAGTTGCTGCTGCTGCTGCTGTTGTTGCTGCTGCTGCATCTCTGCTTGTAGCCGCTCTTTTGCTGCTGCATAAGAAGCATTAAGAGGGAACCACCAAGTACCAAAAGGTCCTGCTGCTGCTGCTGCTGCTGCTGCTGCTGCATCAGCAGCACCATCACCTATGTCCTGCTGCTGTTGCTGTTGTTGTTGTTTGTGCTCTTCCTCTTTAGCAGCAGCAGCAGCTGCTGCAGCAGCAGCAGCAGCAGCAGGAATAGATGTAGTAAGAGGAGGAGGACCCTGGTGTCTCCTTAGCAGCAGCAAATGCTGTCTCCTGCATCCCTCAACTAAATCAGCAAGTGTCTCCGCAGAGAAGGAGAGAGGCAGCACTGTCTCCATTTGCTGCTGCAGCAGACTGTCGTGCTGCAGCAGCAAACCTACATCTATTACACGATTTATATTATTATACCCTCCTCCTCCTCCTCCTGTTGCTGCAGCAGCAGCAGCAGCAGCAGCAGGAGATGGTGGGGGAAGAAGAGGCGAACCTGCAGCACCTCCGTACCAATGCTGCTGCTGCTGCTGCTGCTGCTGCCCGAATTGACGCTGCAGTGGTATACCCTGCATGCGAGGGAAACCATCTGCTGCTGCTGCTGCTGCTGCTGCTGCTGGGGGACGACGACGACGCTGCCAGCGAGGGCCGCGCCAGTAACCTCCTACGTCTTGTGCTGCACCTCTAAATTGCTGCTGCTGCTGCTGCTGCAGCATCTGCTGCTGCTGAGGGTAGCGCTGCCTAAAAGGTGTACGTACACCCCAAGGCCGTCTTGGCCTCCATGCCTGACGCCAGCTGTTGCTGCTGCCAGGATCCTGCCAACCCCCTTGCTGCTGCTGCTGCTGCTGCTGCTGCTGCAGTTGTCGCTGCTGTCTCCATGATGAGTCCTCCTGCTGCACTTCGGGGCCTTGGAGAGTCTCCCCTTCGAAGCTCTCCCCTGGTGCTGCTGCTGCTGCTGCTGTTGTTGCTGCTGCTGCTACTGTTGCTGCTGGTGCTGCTGCTGCTGGTGCTGCTGCTCCTGCTGCTGCAGCACGATCTGGAGCACAAGGCACCACTAACCCCAATAGGGCAGCCTTAGGGGAAATAAATCCGCAGCAAGGGAGACCATTGGTGCTGCAGCGGGGAGTAATTGCTGCTGCGCTGCTTATATTAACAGATCCCTGCAGCAGCAGCAGCTGCAGCTGCAGCGGCTGCAGCAGCAGCTGCTGCAGCAGCAACAACAATATATGAGGCTTGAGCCTCACCCAAGGCAGACACAAGGCCATGGCGTTACCTTCCTCTTCCCCGCAAGTCTGTCTGTTTTGCTGCTACAGCAGCAGCAGCAGCAAGTGCAGCAGCAACTGCAGCAGCAACAGCAGCAGCAGCTGCAGCTGCTGCAGCAAGGGGTCAAGAATAAGATGCAGCAGCAGCACAGGCTGGCTGTCGTTACAGCACAAACAAATCCAAACAAACTTTTATATCGATTTGTAGCAGCAGCAAGACACAGTTGCTGCTGTTGCTGCTGCAGCAACAGCAGCAGCAGCAGCAGCAGCAACGATAAAGAAACAAAAAGAAACTCGTGTGTATCTTTATCTGTATTTATTTACCGTATAATTAAATACCGATTTGCTGCTGTTGTTGCTGCTGTTGCTGCTGTTGTTGCTCCTGCTGCTGTTGCTGCTGCTGCTCCTGTTGCTGCTGCTGCTGCTGCTGCTGTTGTTGTGACCTTATTACTAAGACACTGGGGCCTTTCTGTACGCCTATGCATGCGTTTTTATTTCTTTTTTTATTTAATTTAATTAAATTAATTAATTATAATTAATTAAATATATTATTTAACCCTTAGAGGCATCTGCTGCTGCTGCTGCTGCTGTTCCCGCTGCTGCTGCTGCTGCTACTACTACTAGTACCGGCTTGGGTTGCTGCTGCCAGCAGCAATCTTTTATATCTTTATCTGCGGTGTATCTGCAGTTTATTATATAAATATAAATAATAAATATTATTTTATTTATTTATTTTATTTATTTATTTTATTTATTTATTTATTTCTTTTTTTTTCCTTCTCCCTTTAGTCTAAGGAACCACAAACCCCACAAGAGTGTTGTTTTCTTATTTATAGCTAGGGTTTAGGGTTTAGGGTTTAGGGTTTAGGTTTGTAGTTAGATTTATACTAGGAGATTAGGGTTTAGGGTTTAGGGTTTAGAGGTTTACTATTTCTTATATAAGGGTCTAGGGTTTAGGGTTTAGGAATTAGAAATTAGGGTTTAGTACACCTATAACAATAATTAGGGTTTAGGGTTTAGGGTTTAGCAACAGGTTCTCTTATCAAAGTGTTAAGGGTTAGGGTTTAGGGTTTAGGGTTTAGGGTTTATTGCGACGCATATATATGTACCTCTATCTATACATCGGCAATCGCTAAACCCTAAACCCTAAACCCTAAACCCTAATCTCTAAACCCTAAACCCTTATATATATAATACATATAAATTAAATAAATAATAAATTAAATAAAAAAACAAATAAAGGAGACAAAGGAGACACTGCAAGAAAATAAATTAGCAGCAAATTTGCTGCTGCAGCAAATTTGCTGCTGCAGCAAGTTGCTGCTGCTAAGCAGCAAATTTGCTGCTGCAGCAAGTTGCTGCTGCTAAGCAGCAAATTTGCTGCTAGGCAACTGCAGCGGCTGCCTAAGGGTTTTCCATACTGCAGCAGCAACAGCCTTTCTTCTTTTTGCTGCTGCTGCTGCTGCTGCAGCAGCAGCATCTGGTCCATCCCCGCTTCCTGCAGTATGGGGTTGTCTTGCTGCTGCAGCAAGAACAGGAAGTGCAGCAGCAGCAGCAGCAGCAGGAAGCTTGCCAGGAGGCGCCTGCTGCAGCAGCCAACCTACCAGCGTTGGTATCCATGTAACAAACACAGGGCAACTATCAGCAGCAGCAGCAGCAGCAGCAGCAGCATCAGCAGCAGCAGGAGTTGCAGTGGCTCCTGCTGCAGTTGCTGCTGTTGCTGCTGTTGGTGGAGCAGCAGCATCAGCTTCGTCTCTTAGCTTCATGGTGCGTACTCTTTCCAAGAACTCTTGGTGCTGCTGCTGCTGCTGCTGTCGTTGCTGCTGCTGCTGCTCCTGCTGCTGCTGCTGCTTGGATGGTTTATAAGAAATTGGTGTATTATATACAGTTTGCTGCCTAGGGGTTGGCTCATAGGCATTAGGTAGTGGCTTCCTTAGATGTGCCCCTAGTGCCTCCTTCTCCTTGCTGCTGCTGTTGCTGCTGCTGCTGCTGCTGTTGCTGCTGCTGCTGCTGCTGCTGCTGCTGCGCTGGTACTGTATACAATTAGTTAATACAGGATAGGCAATACAAATAGATTCAATTGCATCAACAATTAAATTAGGAGTTAAGGAAGCAACACCTACAGACAGTAAACGTTCTCCTGTACACAGCAGCAGCAGCAGCAGCAGCAGCAGCAACAGCAGCAACAGCAGCAGCAGCAGCAGATGATGATGAATAACAGCAACAACAGAAAACAAGCAGCAGAAGAAGCAACAGCAGCACCATCAGCAGCATCACCAGCATCGCAAACAAACAACAACCACCACCACCATCAGCATCACCACCATCAGCATCACCAGCAGCAGCAGCAGCAGCAGCAGCAACAGCAGCAACAGCAGCAGCAGCAGGAAATAAATTACCAAGATTATTTATAAGTTGTGGGTCATATAGACCAATCAGAATTAATGAGCGAAGACAAATTATTAATTCTTCTGATGTCCAACAAGAATTATAATTTAATAATAAATCTAAATGGTTTATACACGAATCCAGTAATCTGCATATAAACCCTAAACCCTAAACCCTAAACCCTAAACCCTAAACCCTAAACACTAAAAAAATTATTATAAACAATAAACCATAAATAATTCATTAAAATATATATTAACAATAAACACTTTTATATCATTATTATTATTCAATCATAAGTCTATTTCGTGCACACACGAATCCAAAACCCTATGGAAACCCTAAACCCTAAACCCTAGACAAACCCTAAACCCTAGACAAACCCTAAACCCTAAACCCTAGTAAATTTTTTAACATAAATCATAAACACTTTTAAATAATTATATTAATTTAGTAATAAATCTAAATAAGTTAAGAAGGAGTCGAGTAACCTGCGTAAACCCTAAACCCTAAACCCTAAACCCTCGTAAACCCTAAACCCTCATAAACCCTAATAATATAATTATTAGGGTTTATATTTGCATACCTTGGTGATGAATAGAAAGGGTTATTCATGGCCTCAATAACAGCAGCAAGATCTAAAGGAAGGAGACACCCCATGTGGTGTATAAGGGCCCCCTGCAGTGTACGTACAGCTGAATAGCTGCTGCGTATATCTGCTGCAGCAAGTGCAGCATATGCAGCAGCAAGAGAAGTTTCTGGTCCTTTGCATGCAATTGCTGCAGCACGTTGTAGCATTAAGCCCCATAATTCAGGTGTACGTACACCTGAATTATGCATGCGTATAATAAATGAAGAAAGAGACACTAAATCCATCTCTTTTATATAATTACTTCCTCCTTTTATTTGTATATTTAATACATCAGGTAGACCCATAAATGTACCTAAATATACATATATATATACACATTTATTTATTTATTTATTTATTTATTTATTATTATTAATTATATTAATTATTAGTTAATTAATTAATTAATTAATTATAATTATTAATTATAAATAATTAATAATTAATTTTATTATTTATTTATATAATATTATTATAAATATCAATATAACAAATACAGCAATAAATAAACAAACACCACTACCACAGCAGCAACAGCAGCAGCAACAGCAGCAGCAGCAGCAGCAGCAGCAGCAGCAGCAGCAACAGCAGCAAATAATTCGTTATTATGTGTATACTTTTTTCTTTCAACCACTAAATAAGAAAATTATTTTTCTTACAAAAAAAAAAAAAAAAAAAAAAAAAAA